CCGACCGATGCACAAAAAAAAACACAGAACTAATCACCATGCAAGAGCTCCCCACCACGAGCCTTATCCACGAGTCCCCTCGCTATGTCAGCCTCAGGCACCTGATATGCCTCTCACATAAAATGATCGAACAACGAACCAATCTATAAGACAAACTCTGATCAACATATGGTCGCGAGTGTCTGTCTCGTCTTGAGTTAAACTGAATAGTATAATCACTTCTCTTCGGATTAACGAGACGAAGTGACTGCGCTGGTGAAATTTCAATCCATATTGCACCCCACCGAGATACAAAAAAAAAACAAAGATAAAAAATTAGAGTAAAACATAAGAGAGTGTGTGTGTGTGTGTGTGTGTGTGTGTGTGTGTGTGCACGTGTGCGTGGCCGTCTGTCTGTCCATCCGACCATCATGCCGTGTCTGTTCACAATCTCAATAACCCCCCCCCCCCCCCTGCGATCATCACCAACGATACGACACGATAGGTTGCAAAGGCGCTGCTTGAGCTGCCGACGGCCATCTGGGCGTCAAACACGAACATCAAGCGCCGCTCAACAAAGCTCGCAAAGGGACAGCGTGAGTTGACAGCGGTGGCGGTGATGGTGATGATGCAGAGGGGAAGGAGTGGGGGTGCAGAGGTGCACGTGGCGGTGGTGGTAGGGGGCATTCTGTGCCACACAATACGCACTCGTTTCCCCTTGCTCACAGAATCACACACACACACACACACGCACACACACACACACACACACACACACACACACGCACAACACCATTCTCCACGCCAGGTCGCATGGCCAACAAGGCGCGGAAACTGCAAACTTTGGCGCTGCAGGGCGAATCTACGCCGAACCAGGCGTCAGCCACCACAACCACTACGACCGGCACACCCGCAACCACAACCACAACCACAACCACTACGCCCGGCACACCCGCCACTGCCGACACCAGTGCAGCACCCGACATGTCACCAAAGAAGGCGCCAACGCCTCCTCCCACGCGGCCAAAGCCAAAACCACGGCCAGCCACGCGCCCCAAACCCATCATGGATGACAGCATGGGCGTCAGCGTTGCGTCTGCGCTTCCACCGCACCTCTCTCCATCACGCGCAGGCAGTGCAAGTGGCGTGCTTGGTGACAACACCACAACCAGCACCAGCAGTGATGGCAATGACAGTGGCAGTGGCAATAGCGGCTTCAACCGGAGCCAACGTCCAAGCATCAAGCTGCAGTCCTTCACGGGCGAGGTGAGGTGATGGGCGAGAGAGAGTGTGTGTGTGTGTGTGTATGTGTGTGTTTGCGTATGTGTGTGCGAGTGTATGTGTGTGTGTGTGTGAAAGCGCGTGAAGAAGATGATGGGGGATGCCGCCTGGCTTGCTCAGCCTTCTTTTAACGTTTGTGCACACCGCAAACCACCACCTCATCACACACACATACACACCATACACACACCACCCCTCGTCTGTCCTGCTTACACACACAACACACGTACATGCGCACACAACACGCGTACATGCACACGTGATGTTGCTGACAGGCGACTGACACTGACAGCGGCGATGTGGGTGCGACAGCAGCAAAGCGGCTGGCCACAATTCTCGACCTCCAAAACTCCACCAATGACGACGATGACGATGAGGAGGATCCATATGCGTCGTGTGAGGATCTTGATGATGAAGAGGATGAAGCGAGCGGTGTCACTGGCCAGTACAACGTGCGCGCGCGTGCGCAGGATCTCGGCAATCCGAATGCGGATGTTGGCGTTGCCTGCAAGCACGAGGAATCGTCTCCATATCCCATGGCGTCTGCATCCATGCAGCACATTGCCGATGCCATTTCAAACGCCTACGGCGACGACGAAGATGACGACGAAGGCGAAGAAGACGAATACGGATACGACAGCGCAACCACCGACGACGATGATGATGATGATGATGAGGAGGAGGAGGAGGAGGAGGAGGATGTGGGCGTGTCAACGTTTTCGCGTGTGAAAGCGAGTGTACGCCGCGCAAAGAAGCTGAAGACGAAGATTGAGGCGCCAACAGACCAGCCGTGGTTCAAAGCGGCTGTGCACCGCAGCGATCTCGTCACGCTCAAGGAGGACCAATCGTCCGGAAGGTTTCTGGTGTATCCCAGCAAGCACGACATTGGAAACTACTGTGTCAGCGTGTCGACAGGCCCGGGCAAGGTGTGGACGGGCGTTGTGATCCACTACGGACCTCAGCTGCAGATGGAGGACGCAGGCGTGTCGTTTCAATCGTGGCAGGAGTGGATTGCACACTACTCCGTGCATCCGCTGGCATGCGGTGTCACGCTCACCGGTCCAAATACCAGCGCTGACGATGATGGTCTTGATGCTGGCGTAGAGGCAGACGTGTCATCCGTTGCAGCCGAGAAGAATGGGATGAGTGCTGAGAAGACAGAGCAGAGCGGGCGGCAGCATGTGCCGAGTGTTCATGTGAACGACGATGTTGGTGAGACCAACCCACCTTCAGCAGCGGCTGCTGTGGACGTTGAGAGCAAACGCGACAGCGTTGCCATCAGGTACAAGGACAGAGAGGCGTGTTTGCGTATTGTGTTGTGTGTTTGTTTGTTGGTGCGTGTTGTGTGTGTGTGTGTGTGTGTGTGTTGTGGTGTGTTGTGTTGTGTTGTGTTGTGTTGTGTGTGTGTGCACTATTGGTCACTTTCATGAACACGTTGCTTACTACCTCCACGGTTCCAACTCCATCACCACGACGACGAGCAGTCCATCGAATGCTCGCCTCCGCCCCTCCGTCGTCTCCGCCAGTTCAGTTGGAAGCCGCCGACACTCCACGCTCGAATTCACTGGTACGTGTGTGTGTGTGTGTGTGTGTGTGTGTGTGTGTGTGTGTGTGTGTGTGTGTGTGTGTGTGTGTGTGGGTGGGTGGGTGTGTGTGGGTGGGTGGGTGT